TTATTCGATATTCGATATTTAAATTTTCAAGCAAGATATGAAATATCACAAATTAAAAATGCTCTTATCCCGCTTGAAAATTAAAATATCGAAATAAAAGCCGACTCTTAAGCATGGATAATGTTCTTAACTAAAAGTTTAATAGGTACACTCTAATATCAAAACCCACAGCACACTATTGTAATTTGTAACTAGTGAACGAATATTTGTTATGTCGCTCGTATGTAAAACAGATAACAAAAGGATGGGTAACGTCCAGAATCTCCAGATATAATTAAAAAAAACAAAATAAAATCGTTTAAAATGTAATTTAAGAAATAAATTTATATTTTCAATATGCTAAAATATTTTTTAGAAAATAAAATTTCTCAGACTCATGTAATTTATGTTTAATCATTAAACCGAATTAAAGATATTTTTTATCGATATCACTATCAAGCTAGTTGTACAAATTACTCTATAAATATGTAACCTTAGATTATCAAAAATAGTCCGTAGGATTAAAACAAATACAATAAAATAGATACTTGATGTGAACTGTGAAGATAATTGTTGAGACAATTAGACTAATATTAATTATTATTTCTTTTCCTTAACTCCAAATAAGATTTAGTGGATTTTAAATTAATTAATCAATTAATTGAATAAATGTATTATTTTTTTTTCAAATAGGTGAACGGTGAACAAACTATCTTAATGCTTATACATTATTTAAATTCAATTTCCATCGATAAAAAAAAACGAATGTTAATAGTGACTTCTTTAAATATTGAAATAGGAGTATCTACCTACCTATAAATATGACGATTGACGGGACTACGGGAGTCTTTAAAATATATAATAAATTTAGAATCAGAATTTTAACTTTAACATGTAGGTAATATTAATAATAATCGATTTTCAAAACTACTATGTTGATAATCGACTTGCGTGATGAGATGGTGGTATAAACAACAGTATAAACAACTATCAACACAAATAAAACACAATATTATCGGCGACTAACTGTTCTCAAAATATCACTCGAGTACCCGGGTGTAATATTACGTAATATTATAACAACATAATATTATTCTAAAACACTTGTAAATAATAATTGTAATATTTGTATAATACACAATACATACACTATAAAATAGTAGGTATATAGTCACTACGCACTAATCACTATAGTGTATTTATATTAATACAACTATTTTGTGCATATTCTAGTAAAATGTAAATTATTAAGAATACCAATAAATAATAATAACATGTATATATATATGGTATATTTTATTCTGGATTTCGAGCCCTTTTTTCGTTGCGCCCCTGGGCTGGGCCAGTCTCGCGAAGCCCTAGCTACAGCTCTGGATCCAATATATTATATTTTTGTATAACCATTTTTAAGTAATAATTTCTAAATCAAAGAAAATAAATCCACAAAGGAACTAGGTACTTAAATTACAAAAGATGCGTACGTAGTACGTTGTTGACTTGTAGCACGCGTGAAATAAAACTATACTGCAGCTGTGGTAGGATTGAAGGGAACTTTATAATTCTACAAAACATCAAGGAAAATAATTTATTACTGTAATTGTTTTTCTTTTATATATTATATTACTAGCTGATCCCGTGTACTTCGTTACCCGTGAAATGTACCAAATCTATATGACTAAAACTTTGTTCAATTCGTTATTTAATATTCAGTGTATGCCGTACGGTGTTCAAAATTTATCTTAACTTTTCCGTTGTCCGGAATAATAACAATAATTCTGATTCGCAGCAGTATATTATCAGGTAGGCAATCTACCTGAGGTAGATCGCGGACCCCTTGATGTTTGTACGTAAGTGTATGATTTAACTCTAAACTCTAAAGTATCAAAGTTATACCAAGTTTGTTGTATTCCACCTATGGTGGATTAATATAACCAGTTGATACAAAATCCTAACCGTACTAATATCGGATGAATAAAAAAAACCAAATTTAACCATTTTTAAATTAACTTGTCTTCTTCCCAGAGGTCTAATCTACACACAAACATTCATTTATTTATATATATATTGACAAAAAACAATTATACAAATCAACAAACATTCCCGATTAACCAATAGCAACCAATATAAATTAGTATACACTGTTGAACCACTGTTGTATTTTTTTCATCCAGATTTCCTACTTTTCCGGTTAATTTTTCTAAAATTTTCATTTGTATAAATCTTCTCCTGGCAATAACGAAAATCTTAAAAAAAGTTTGAGCCAAATCGGACCAGCCATTCTCGAGTAAAAAATAAAAATAAAACAATAACAATAATACAAATCAACAAACATGCCCGATTAACCAATATAGCAGGGGTGGTCAAACTTGTTTTGATTAAGATCTACTGAGGGTATATTTTTTCTTTTAGGATCAACTAATGTAAAAAAAATATTTAATATTAATAATAAACATACCTACTTATATAAATAATAAAATTAAAGTGTTAAGTTATCTAAAATGAGCGTTTCATGTTAAATTTTTAAGTAATTTTAAAATGTATTAACATTTTACTGTTGATGTAGAAGCGTGTCATTGCACATCATGACCAAGCGAAGATGCTGTGCGCCTGTGCTAAAGTCTAAAACTAACCTACTCAGCTTTTATAAATTATAACTTCCATGTGAGAAAATGCCATTTCAGACTAACAGGTTAATCCGAAACATATGTATTTAAAAAGTGTATCTACTAAATTGCAAATATACCTATAAGAATAGTTAATAAATTCTAACAATGGGGATCGACTGTTTGGCCACCCCCGCAATATAGCAACCAATATACAATACACTATTATTATTTTAATCTGAAACTAATTTTTTCAGGACAGATGGCGCCACTACTATAATTTTTGTCATTCAAATTTTCTACTTTTGCGGTGGATTTTCCTATTTTCAAACATCTTAAAAAAAATTTGAGCCTAATCGGTCAGGCCGTTCTCGAGTTTTAGAGAGACAAACGAACAACAATTCATTTTTATATAATATATTATATAGATTTATTATTGATTCCCTTTATTTGAGAAATAGAAGGGTTCCACTATCCACCTTCTCTCATACTACATTTTTATAGACAATTAGTAAAAAATATTTATTATATTTTGATGCAAATTAATAAAATAGTTATCTTTAGTTACACCACAGAATAAATTAAATTTCAATAATCCTGGGGTTACATCACTGATAAAAACCTAATCAAAGAATTTTATAAATCACTTAAATTCTTAAATTTACTTTTTATATAGCACCCGTGATCACTACACTTAAACATAGTATTAGATTGCCAAAATTCTAGCAAGTTACAATTGTTGTCTAATTTAAATTCTGGTTTTTTTTTTGACATTAGACATATTGATTTTATAAAGCAATCATGAGTGTATTCTGTGTATTCTATTACTCATTACAATATTAAAAAGTCCTAAGCTATAAACTAGAAATTATTGTAAACATATATATATATATATCATGACATATCTGTCTTCCAGGTTTTAGTTAAAAGTTTTAAGATTGCATTTAGAATATAAAAAATTATAATTATTACATTTTAATTGATTCAATTAAGGAATAAGGATAGTATAAAGAAATTGTATAATTTTTAAAACAAATGTAGAATTATTATTATAATAACTAAAATCTTAAATACCACAGTTATACCATAGAATAAAGAATTTATTATTATTAATATTATCCTTTATACTGGTACCCAGAGAGCCTTTATATAATATAAATGTAATATTTATTCATTTTATTATCTAGGCTCTACTGGTACCTAGTGTGGCCACAGAATTCTGTGGTGTGGCTTTATTTAAACTGGCCACAGACAGTGATAAACAATCCCAAATAGCAAATAGAGCATACAACTGACTAAGGAATGACCTAATTTTATATACATACATTTAAAGTAATAGACAACATATATTAAAATAAATTATATAATAAATTGATAATGTAATTGCCAATATAAGATTTTATACATTAGATCTTCTAAAATAGTATCTCAGTTTGGAGCTAAGTCAAAGGTAGATGGCTACTAAGCTATTTACAATCAATTTGTAAAATATTTTAAATACAAAGGACAATGAATTTGAAACCATTTGAAAATGATTTAGGTTTCTAAAAGAAATTATAATAATTAATAAAAATAATTTTTTATAATGTATTTGTATATTATTATTTGGAGCAAAACTAAAATTCCATTACTTAATTTTTTTAATATATTTGAATTGGTGAAATTGCATCAATACATTTTCATACATTATTAACAGTATCAACATTAAAACTTAATACACAGCTGTGTTAAATTTGTAATTTATATTAATAATTTAAAGCTTAATTTTAACAGGTTCTTCATATTACAAAATAATCTAAGCATTATACATAATTAAAATACAGGTGTCTAATTTTGAAGAATAGTTTTAATTGTAATAGATAACAATGAAGTTACCCAATTTTTTTATTAAATAAAACAAATAATAAATCGACATAAAAATAAACCAGAAGATATTTATCTTTAAAAATTTAAAAATAAAATAGTTAAGTACAATTAATATACCAAACAGCTATATTAATGGACAGCATAAATATATGTCCATTGGTAATGATAATTGTATTGTTTTTTCAGTTGAAAAATTGAAATACTATTAGAGTAATTAATAATTATTGATAGTGAAAATAATACTTTGAAATACCTACAATTTTCAAAATATAAATCAAAACGTTCAATCTATAGGTACATGCATTTGTTCTGAATTACTCAGATACTGCCAGAATGTACATTGTATATAATAAAATAGTTTCAATTCACAAAATAAAATAGGGAATAGTTTTTTTTTTAAATTATTTTATTTAATTATTTATGTAGCAATTAAAAACTATTATAGGTTGGAAAAAATATATGTTGTTCAAAAAAATAATGCAATTTTTGTCAAAATGTCAAAAAGAAATAGTTCATACTTGTACTAAAGTAATGGAATCCAAATAGATAATCTTAATTCCGTAATAATGACTTGACATAACCTTCATGTATTTTAACCATAAAATCTGGATCATTTTTTAATAAATATTCAAAAGCTTGTAATAACTGATTCTTTGTTAATGGTTCCAATTTATTATTAGATTTATTAGATGTGGGTTCCCGGTGTTTAGGTTCTGTTATTGACATTGCATTTACTGAAGAGGTAACTAGTTCATCCTCAATGTCATCCAATATGAACCTAGTAGGTGGCATTAGCTCATCTGAATCAATTTGTTGATCTAATGGCATACATGCACCTAGAACATAAAAGTATTTATTTTTTTAAATCATTGAATAATTATTACAAAAATGAAACATTTAAAAAAAGAGTTAGTAGTAAACTGCAATTGTTTTAATATACTTAAACAAATATAAATATAATATTTATTTCTTTTAAACGAATAGAAGTTAATACAAATATATATTTAGTATTTACCCAAAACTATATTTGATTTTTCTGATAGATCGCTTTGATTAAGAAAATTTTCAATCAATGATGTACTAAATGAATTATCTTTAATATCTTTCGGTCGATGATATCCATTGCGATTAGCATGGGAAGTATCATCTTCATCTTGTTGATTTAATTGATTTATTAAACTTCTGGGCTTTATGTTATTGAATGAACATGTCTTAGTTTGTTCAGTATGAGTTGCGACCAAGATATCTGTTCTAGGTGTTGCTGACCTTTGTTGCATTTCGATTTGTTCTACTGTATGAATTGGACTAGCCATCAACTTGTGCAACATAGATTCATTAGATCCTGTTTTTAAAGTTGGAGTTTGTGTACTTTGTGTATTTGCATAACTTGATAATGATGGTAATCCTTCAGAGAAATTTTTCCCACTTCCTGCTTGTGCAAAAAAATCCATAACACATTGAGGAGGGGCAGTTTCTTCAACTTTTTTTGATGGTGTTTCAGATCCTTTTGAGCTGGTCTTATTGGCCCTATTAAATCAACACAATATATTATTATAATTTATAGTTGGTTTAATATTTATATCAATTATTGGAAAATATATAGACGGTATAAATTGTTTGGGTAAAAATATGTAAGGGGCTTATCATTTACATGCCATCCCATTTCCCAATCGAAAGAGTAGCTTCATGAAATATTAATTAACCAATATCATACTCAGAAATTGGAAATATATTATATCGAGTGATTCTTTTATCATTGAACACTTATTATTTCAAAAAGTATAAATGTTTTTGAACAAAAATGTTTAAATAGTGTCTAGCTATTAAAAAAACAACATTTGTAAAATATATAAACAGTTTTAATTTCATATTTCTCAGTACCTATTTTGGTACACACAAATTGAATTTAGAAAGAGTAGTTTATTAATAAGTATTTAAAATTAGTGGAGTGAAATGGTATGCAGTTACCCCGTTAAATGTTTGTCCACTATTCCACTCATCTATACTTATAATTCAAAAACTAGTCTTCCTAAATTTGATTTTAATGTATTGAAATACTTGAAAAATTCTGCTTTAAAACTGTATGTTGTCAATGAAAAAAGTAAAAACTTTAAGTGTTGAGTATAAAAAATATTTTTTAACAACTAGGTACCATGTTTTTCAAAAACACTTAATTTATGAAATAATGAAGGTTCAATGATAAAAGAATCACCGGGTCCATCAATTTAATTTAAATTAGTTTCTTTCCATGAAAAATGAGACATTTTGAGCTCAAAATCACTATAGTTAGAACTATCACAACCATTTTTTTTCTTGATTTTTGTCTAGGTACCATTTTTAAGAATTGCACTACCAAAGTTAAGATTTTACTTAATTCTTTGGATTTTAAGTATTTTAATTTGAAAATGAATGGTAATTAGACTAGATAACTGCATAAAAATAATATATTTCAGTAATCTATATTTACGTTTTAGTGTTTCTTTAAAGTTAAAAAATTAATAGTTGATACATTGTATGTATAACACCTATGGTCAGTCTAAATTGAATAATTACCTATAATCCTCTTGTGCCCGACTCAGCATTGAAACGAGATCGATACTTTTTGTGGAACCAGTTTCTTGTTTGTTAATTTTATCGTTTTGTTTTACTATCAAACTTTTGATCAATGATTTCAGTATATTAGAAATTTTGGCACATTCTTCTTTGTCATAAAACCAAATACCATAAATAGAACCACCACAGTTTCTGTACAGTAAAAATGGCTCTTGAAGTTGGAGATCTAGGCCATTTTCAATCGGTTCCATCAAATTGTTTGTGTTTAATCTATTCATTATCATAATACTGTGCAAAGGTTCAGCAGATCGCGTATACACGTGTAAAGTCCCTTCTACATTGGTTTTTTGCCATGCATTAGCCTCTGCATTGAACGAATACAGAGCGACGTGTCCCGCCGTCTGTACGATACTATCAACATATGGATCTACTCTTTGCAAAGCAGAAAGATTCATTTTAGCTTCAGAATCGCCGTAACTCATTATTTATGTGTAACTATAGAACGGTAACACTAAAATATATGGAGATCAATAAAATGTACGAGACAGTAATATTAGTTTATAACAATTATACCCGTACACTAGTTCTTCAAATACTAGGTCTGAACGTAGAATCTTGAATGTACTCAATAATCTGTTATTCTTTTTATATCATTTCAATGATATTTTTTCGATGATAACATTCACTGGTCCTGTGTTTTGTTCGTCACAACTCGTGTAAAAGGTAGGAATTTTAACGGTATTACCTATGTAAAGTAATATTTTAGGAAACTTTAAAAACAATAAAATATTCAATAAAAACTAGTCAAATTGTCAAAATTAATAAAATGAGGTGACGGACAAGCGTTAAAGAACCACAGTAGTAAGCACCGAAGTACCGAACGAATCGAACGATAAGTAAGTGAAAAAGTGGGAGAATTTAGAGAACGAAAAACAAACGTTTCTGTTACCAATTTACCGCTAACACGGTATTCGAGAGTATTGATAATATTGTCAAATTTGATAACGAAAATTCGTTATAATATTTCATTATTATTTATTATATTTTTTTGTCGTCGTCGGTTTTCAGCTATCTATGGTATTATCTATAATCTGACCAATGAGTTCGCGCCTTCGCTTTTGATTTTGTTATTTGTAATTTGTTATTATTGTTAGCCTGCTGTACTCTGTGGGCTTGTAAGTTGTTTAATGAATAATCTTATTCTTATAGCAACTTCAACAGTTGAACTTAAGATGGAAAACCAATCATTTTAATGGTGAATGTACCACATTACTACCATGACAGTGATTACTACTACAAATTTATCTAATATTTAAATTGTTTTACCTACTTCATATCTGTACCTATTGTAAGTTGTAGTATAATTCACAATAATGAGTGGTCAAGAAGATGAATATTACTATGACCGTAGTATGTTTTTCAAAGAATTGTCGCAAAGTATTGGTAAGTTTGAACTACTAATTAACTTAAATGCAACTAATTATTTTCTTTTTAGTTTCACTTGATTCTGTTATAAATGTAATTACAAGGTGTACAAGTATATCCTAAACCAGAGTACCTACATTTACAAAAATGTTGTGTTCAATACTAAGTGACTTCTTTTTACTTCAAAATTACAACTTATAGAAAATAACGTATCATAACTTGTCGATTCCTTTTAGGAAGGTAGTTGCTTATAATTGGGATATCCTTGTAATCATCATAATATTTATTTTGTGTACATATATAATTAGTAATTGGTAATTACTTATACATTTTTAATCTAAAACATAATATCTATTGTTAGTGCATTAACTGCAACTTTTTTGTATTTATTTTAGAAAAAAACAAGTTATCAACTAATATATTATTTAGTAATTATCTAAATGATTTTAAAGATATTGTCCAACACAATGGATTAGTCCAAGAAGAGATGAATATTGTATGTCAATTATTGTGTACTGTTGATTTAAGTAAGTACACAAGTATTAAAACCGTACCATAAATGTATTATTATTATTTATTAATTTGTTATAGCTTCTAACATTAACTATCATAGCTCAACATTTTTAAATTATATTATCTAAACAATAAGTTATAACAGCTAAACAGCCTGAAAATTGAAATATTACATATCACATTATTAGCAAAATATAAGAAATAAAAATTATAAAAACAAGATATAAATATTTAAAAACAAAAAAAATTATAATTTTAATAGTGGAATTAGATCCATAATAAAAAAATAAGGATATAAACTTTTCAATATTCAAATTATATTAATGAGAAAAAACAGTTTTTATGATTGTGTGTTGAACAAAAATAGATTAAAGAGATATAAATATTTTGACGATAAGTGTCTTTAGAAATGAAAAAAGAAAGGGAGTAGTGGACTGATAAAAATTTTAGAGTTGCAATTAAATGTGAAAGAGTTTGTTATATTTATATATATATAGATGGGGTCAGAAGCTCCATGTCATCAAGTCATGATCAGTGTTAGGTACTAGGTAGATCATTAAGATTGTCCATGGAGCCAGTGGCGTGTCTGTGGGAGTCAAATTCCCATTTGAAAAAACCCAAGATAAACTACTGCATGGAGTTTGTGAAGGGTGTGTAAACTACATTGCCACTGATATCATCGAAGCAAAACCACAAAACAGAAATTGGTATATTTCTACTTACCACCGGGCACCCTTAATTTTGCAATTTTTTTTTTTTGAAACTTATGTAGTTAAGTACGCTGAAAATGATGGTGAAGTCAGAATTTAGTGCATGGACTTAGTTTTGAAGTTATGGCCTAATGAAGTTCACTATTTCTCGAATTTTAAGCATTTTCCTCAGGTAAACTTAGGATTTCAAGAATATTGTTTTTAAAGTACGTTTATTGCTACGGTTTTGTAGCGGAAGGGATAAAAATTTTAGTTTTTTTGTCATTGTTACTGGACAAAGTTGATAAGACTGATATAGTTTGTACACACTACACGGTAAACATGGCTGATTTTATGAACATTATTATTCATAATGATGTTATTAATTGGAGCAGATATAAAAAATTTGTCCATAGTATAAGATAGTGAGCAAGAATAATATGACGTACGTGTGTTCATGATGTACGTTAAGGCCGAACTGAACAAATAAATTACGTAAAATATAATATTAATGTATGTACTTGACTAAAATATAAATAAATTGTTATAGTTTGTTCATAATTTAAAAATTAGATTGATTAAGTTTAAGAATTTTAACAAATAGGTACTTTTATAATTGCTAGTATTATTTTAGGTGTACAAAATTTTAGACGAATACTTTTAACACTAGTACCAGAAGAACCATCGATTCCCCATGACATTTGTGAAGAACTTATAGTTTGGGCATTATCAGCTTATCGCCAAAATGTTAACGATGCAACAAAAGCTCAATGTATATTATACTGGATACTTTGTAAGTGTTAAACTATATTATAAGTATATATTTATATATATTATATATTAATTATAAATAATTAAGTGCTTTTAATTTAATCTAATTTTTTAATAAGATTTATTTTTATAACAAAATAAACATTGTATTGTTGTACAATTGTATAGATGTGGTTGAAGAAAAATTAACTAATATGGATATAATTGATAAGTATTATAAAGTCTTATTTCATCTCTGTAATTATCAAAATTTAGTGAGTAAATATATTTTATGATATTACTATTAAAACATGTAATGCGATTTATTTGATTATAATTTTACTGTACTAGAGTCAACCAGTAGCTGGAATTATTTATTGTTTGACAAAATCTGATGATGTTCAAAAGTGGATGATAACATGCTGCAAGAATATTATAGAGGGTTCAAAGTCCGAACCATATCTGAACAAATTACTGACGTAATAATAAATAATTAAAAACCAATGCTATTTAATTATTCAATAAACATTTTTTCCATTTTTAGTTTCTTTGAAAGCCCTAATTTAATGAACAATACACGACAAAAAGGACTTTTTGATTGTAACAATACATTTTGTAAAGAGCTTGCTTGTGGTTTACGTAGTGTTCGAAAAGAATTAATGAATATACATCCTCAGTCTACACATTCTCAGCAACTCATAGAATATGTATATTTAATATTTATCAAACATATTTTAAATTAAATGCAAATTTAAAATTATCTGTTTCATTTATTTTATTTTAGGAAAGAAAGTCCTCATATACATTTTATAATAAAATTCAGTTTGTGGACGTAAATAACAAATTTGAATTTCCAAGGTAAAGAACCATAACAATATTACAGTGAGTTCGCTAATGTGATCACTGGTTTATAGAATCAACTAGTTAATGGAATCATAATGGCCTGAACCAATGTGACCACATTAAGCGGTACTCACTGTAATATGTTTATTAAAATATAATGTTTTTCTTAAATTGTCTGCTTTGTATTTACTAACATATTTTTGTATGTATTTTTTTAACTTAAATCTTAAATTGTAATAATTTGTATATTTTCAGTACTGAAGAATTAGCAAAATCATTCATAAAAGAATGTTCTTCTAATAACACCTTGACACTCTTGGGTAGCGTGAGTGGTTGGTGTAAATTACTTATGAACAATGACAAAAAATTGAATTTACAACAAAGATTTTCAAATAATTTATACCATAGTCTAGATCAAAGTAATTAAAGTATTGCTTTAACTAAATACATATTAATTTGTAAAATGTTATTAGTCTTTTTAAGTAATGAAGTTAATGTAAAATCTTCACAAAAATCAAAATTCTTACATGAAATTTTGGAATTTCAAAAATTTGCACATCGAGGTTTGGCAGCAGTAAATATCTTCATATTCCAATACATTATCTCATGGGATGGAATAGAAAATAGTCGTGTGATTTATGAACTTTTCGAATATTTAACATTCACTTCAGAAGAAGGTTGTATTGCAGAGATATAATTTTAAATTTGATACTTATTAGTTTTATCTTTATGTTTAGAATTAAAAAATAGCTTTTTAGAAAAATTGTATGCAATATTTATTACTGGAGATGAATTGATTTATCGAATGGTAATTAATTCCTTGACTAATCTTCTTTGTAATTTGGTAAGTCTAATACTAATATTATTTGTTACATTAAGTTCATTATTTATAATAGCTTTAATTTACTCTATTTATAGTTGTTAATACTAGGGTTTTAAATGAATTTATTTGATTCTCTTTTTTTTAAATAATAGAGTAAATGATTAGTTTTATCTGAAACCCCTAATGTTTTTCTGATTTTTTCAAAGGTCCAATATATTTATGTATTTGGTTTATTTGTATCATTTTTTACTTAAAACATTCTTACCAAACTTTCATCAACTCGATTAATTGAGGATCTCATATGTTGTGTATTTTTTTCTCAAATTAATAATATTATTCCTTTTAATACATAAAACAATTGCATTGATTAATAATGTTTATTTAGTATTTTAATTCAAAACAAACCAGACCAAATAAAAACTGTACATTATTTGGTGAAGAGTTAAGAGAAGAAACAGAATTTGAAGTAGTAAAGTGTTTGACGAAATATATATCGCATTGGTGCTCAATATGTATTTATAATTATCCTCAAGAAGAACAATTAAAACATACAGTTTATACATTTTTTGAAAAAGTATGTTTTTTGTAAATTAAAAATATTATATACATTAATTAATTTACTAACTGAAATACTTTTAGGTATCTGTTTTAGAAAATTTGAAGCCAACCATATGGCCTATTTGGACAATTATGCCTCAAAGTGTTTTCTATAATGGTTTAATGTCAGTAAATATATACTGGTTAGATAGATTGTCCAGACTAATGCTGAGGTATGCAAAGTACAACTTGTTTAATGTTTTAATTGCAAAATAATACAATATTTCAACACTACTGAATATTAATTAATTTAAACAATGTTATACTCAATAGTCAATACTGTGTGTAATTATATACAATATAGACAAACACATTAATTAAAAATTAATTCTCATATGATATAGTTTAAATAATATTACTGTAAGGTTGACAAATATATTATATTAAATTGAATAAATTAGTATAACATGGAGACTTAAAGTAAATTAAAAACAATTTAGGCACATAAAGTTTGACACCAACAGAATCGAGGATAACGCAGAGTCTCCATCAATTTTAAGAATGTTACAATTGTTTGACATGTACATGGCAGATTTTTTTAATGCTCTCCACACGGGGGTGGTAAGCATAGTACATAAAAATAGACAATAGTAAAACAAGTTGATCATATTTTACAAAAAAAAAAATATTTTTTTCTAGTTGTTTGATAAACGTGAAGAAGGATTTATTTTTAAAAATTTAAATGAGGAAGAAGTTGAAAAAGATTTTAAAATAGTGAATTTAAATGTATGCTTTCAAATGGAAAAACATATCGCTCTAGCTCCATATTTTATGAATGCCGAACATACAGTAGAGGTAATTTATCAATTTATCAATTATTCAAATACGTTATCATCCCTTATTTAATTTTATATTGGTACATTTTTTTTATCATCATTAAATTAATAAAGTATTTTTAAATTTTTAGGATCCATTGGAGGATTTACTTCGGGTAGAAGCTCCAAATTTACACATGTTAATTTTTATGTTAAATCAAAATTTGCAGAATGATAGTGAAAATGACATTTCAACATCTTAATTTTGGTTTATACTATGAACAAAAAATATTTAAATAATATTGTTTGTCAGTATTGTATTGAATTTTAATTTTTTTTTTTTATAACAATCGTTCACAGAAATTAAAATTATTGATACCATTAATAGGATAATTTTTAAATAATTTTTACAATATATTTGACTTCTTATATAATGAGATATTTGTGTACAAAAGGAATGTGAATTTTTTTTTACCAAGTCAAAAACTAAAGTTGATTAGCTCAATCGTTTTTATATTATTTCATACATCATGATATTTATGGTGTACTATATTAATTAATAGTGTTTGTTTTTCATAAATTTTTTTTTTATTAATGAGATTTTATTTTTCATAGATTAAAAACATAAATTGTTTCTGCCATAAATTCTTTATATTTTTATTTTTAATTTTATTTAATAATTTTTAATACTGTATTTTAATTTATTAGTGTATAATTGTATAAAACTTGACAATTGGTCATTGGATTGTTAGCTAAAATTACTTTAAGAAAAAAAAATATTGATCTACTTAATTTTTTTCAAATAAATACAGTTTTTTAGAAATGCATTGGTTATTATGACTTATGTATTGTCATCTATAGAAGTCAATGTCTGATTTTCTACAGCCAAAAGTTTAAAATATGATTTAGGGAAATTCAACCAGTTTCTGGCATAATATAAAATTCAAAAAGACCTCTTGCGAGTTGCGAGCTACTTGGATCACTGGCACGTTAATAGATAGAAGGTTAGGTTTTATCTACAACCATGGTCACTGGTAAAGTAAAAAGCGGTTGTTAAAATTAAATGTTTATATGCAATATTATTCAAATTTTATTTGATAAATAATTTATAACAACAAAAAACGCAGTTTCTTAATGTCTTACAATAAATGTATTTTATTATGTACCAACAGGCAACCCAGGTAAATTATAAAACATTTTTATTATTTAAAGAAGGTCAGAAGGTCTATACGGTTGAGGGCTTATTCTGCAGCTTGGAGGAAATATTAGACTAGCCTCTGAATAGTTTCAAGTTCACCATGCCACTGGTAAGAACTACTAATTTTATAACCACTCGGCTTCCTAAAAAATATCTATTAAAGGCTATATTACTATATATTATTAGTGCTGTGCTTGACCATTGTTGTAAAGTGGCCCATAGTGAAAATAATTCATATATGCGCTACTGAATTATTTATATGATATTTTTCGAATACAATTCTCTGTTGAAACAAATATTGTAAAACTCTCATTTAATAATTTCGATAAATCAATAAATTTATTATTTATTTATAGATCATCCTCATCTGAAGTTGATAAAACTTTAAGTAAAGTTATACGAGAAAACAAAAAAAGTATAATTTTACTGTTCTCATTAGAAATATGAACATAATTATGATAAGGGACAATGAATCTTATAATGATTATTTTAATTTATTAATGGAAACTGGAAAGTGGAGTTTGTCTCTCATTAACATTTAACTTATATCATTGACTATAAATTAGTATTTATAATCAATGGTTCTACTTAGGTGCTTAATTTGGCTACGTATTAAAAGTTTTAAAAAAAACTGTGCTTGTAACGAGTACGCGTGGATGAAGTGAAACTTCTTTCAGAGTAATTCAATGGATAGAATATTAGGTTTGTACTCGAATAACATTTAATAAAAAACAAATCTATATTTTTAAAAGTATTTATTATTATTATATTTATTTACCTAGTTAAATCAAACAAATAACCAGATCTTAAAACTAATTTTTTTGTTTAATTTAGGTAGATTAATAAATAAAATGATTCTGTACTCGTAACATATTTTTGTAGTTTTCTTATCATTTTGGATTACAAGTTTGATGAAAGTTGAAAACTGATACTCCACGTTCATATCTATTATTTCCTCCATAGAAAATAATATTTATTGATAACATAATATTATCATACCATATTATGTTATAGAGGTAAATTCAAGATGATCTATTTTTAGATTTAAAAATTATCGAACTGATAACATCTGTAGAACAACAACAAATAAACATATTTGATTGCGGTTTTCGGCAATTGGCTCGCAAACTTATCAGCTATAATTTACGTGTGTTAAAATAGTTTATTTATTTATTCATACATTGTAGTGCTACATTCTTTAAATTTTTTCAAAACGCGGGGTGAATCCGGACAGGAAAATTACGATGCCCAGATCATACAAAAAAACGAAAATTAGTGCCCAGTAAAATAATTAAACAAGGACGTTTTATTTTTGACAATATTGATACAACTAATTTTCATTGAAAAAATAAAATGAATTTATAATTTACATACCTACCTAATATAACAGTTGTTGATATTTTTATAAAAGTAAAAAATTATTTTATGTAAAGTTTTTCAAAATATTGAATAAAATACGTAGTATTTATGATAAAGTTATGTTTTTTTTTTTTGTTTAATTCGTTACGTTTTTTTGAAAAATATCTATACTGTCCGAAGTCAACCATTGTAATTTTAACATCGGTTTTTAATGAAATTTAATACGTGTCCGAAGTCACCCCATTTTGCGGGTGACTCCGGACAGTTTTCAACTTTTAAAAAAAGTGTGAACTTTAAAGACTTTTATGATTATTCTTCTCCTACATGATTTCAACATACCTAAAGAATATTGCATATTTTTTTCATAATTTTAGAAACAATACATTGAGGTTAATTTTTGAAAAAACGTTCAAATCTGTCCGGAGTCACCCCATTTTACGGTACTCTGTATATTATTTCTACAACATTACTACTCTATATTACATTTTTTTAAAGAGGTAATTAAATAAAAAAAATATTAATATTAATAATAATAAGTTTTTTACCAAAACATTAAAATAATGCATTTGTTTGTTAATAAAACATGAAATATTTGTAGTTCTTGTCCCTCTGAGTCATCAGAAATATGATATCTCCAATTTTTCAGGATATATATAATATAATATTAAAAAAAAAATTCAATATTTTTTTTTTTGTCTAGGTCTTGTTCTTATATCATGTTTTCTCACTTTAGTTAACTATCGTCATAAAAAAATAAAATAAATTTTAAAAAAAATTCTGGTAAACAAAAATATTAAAAAAATAACTCCTACTTCCTACTATCAGTACTCGATCATCGGTGGTCGAAGGGTCCGTGCAAGAACGATATTTGTCCAGTTACATTATATTTCCTATACGGGTGGTCCGATTTGTCTCATTCTTTCATAGATATACTCTTCAAATTTTTCTTAATTGAAAACGAAGAGGTCCGCGCTAATTTCATTTTTCAAAACTTTTCTAGAAACAAGAAAAGGTACAGCTGTGTACTGTGTACACCTAACTAAGAATTTTCATAAATAATTTAATGCAAAAAACAATCAAACACTTTTGGAAAGCAGTGAGAATAATTGACTCATTATGATATTCTTCGGTTAATGATTCTTAACAACAAAAATAAATTGGACTCATATTTACATGTAGCCATGTAGGTAATTTTTTGTAGCTCAGGTTTTGTCCATTTTGATAATTATTTAATTTCACATAATCACATCCAAACATAATTCACAATTGATGTTCCATTTCCATTGTAGCATAATATATACCTACAACCTACTATATTACTGTGTAGGTACTATAGTATATATATAAGCAATAACGACTTGGATGTTCTTTTCACTGATGATCTTAACTTCCGCCCTCACATTGACTCCATCTGCTGCCGAGCTCTCAAGTCACTTGGCTTCATAATGCGCACCATGAAAGAGTTCAAACTGTCTAGATCTCTTAAGACTGTCTATTGCTCTTTAGTCCGAAGCTTACTAGAGTATGCGTCTGTGCTCTGAGACCCATTTGTGGTAATTGATTCTTGCCATTTAGAGCGAGTTCAAAGGCGCTTTTTGTCGTCCGCAGCTTACATGCTAAAAATTGTCCATCCTCCTCATATCTATACTCCAGTATTGTACGCACTTAACCTTACGTCCCTAGTAGACAAGCGAGTTAAAGCTAACCTAGGCTTTTTGGGAAAGTTAATCGATGGTTCTATAAATGCCCCTTAATGCTCGCGAAAGTAAACTTCAAAGTTCCGCATCGTGCCACAAGGTCTCGAGTTCCGTTTGCTGTACCTTTCCATTGTACCAATTACGGTAGAAACAAACCAATCGACCGCATGATGCGTTTAGGTAACGAGGACCCCACCTTTCTTAGTTCACCTTAATATTGTGTTATTGATCTTGTAGTATCTTTTTTATTATTTTGTTATATCATTGAATGTAGTTTTAGTTGTGTCCTAATTATTTTAATTTATATTTATTGTACCTGTAATTTTGCTCTATTTTTGGGCCATCGCCCCTTGTATATGTTAATTATGTTAAATTTCTGTATTATTATTGTGTATTGTACTAAATAAGGAATCTTATTCCGTAAATTAATTAATAAACAATAAACAATAATTATATTATGAAATATGTATACTCCACGATAGGCTAAAGGAGGGGGGGCAGTGGGGCACAGCCGCACAGGCCACAACAGATATCGAACAATAGTGGGCCTATAACAAATGGATAATGGATAGGTAATAGGTATATTATTATTATTTGGCCCCCAGGCACAAAATTATCTTAATCTGGGCTTGATATCCTCATTATTTATTGAATAAATTTTAATCATTGTTGCTAGTAGTTATTTTCTACTAGCTGTCACCCGCGTGCTCCTCCTCCGTGGATAGTTGTTTGCAAATTTTGTGGCTGTTTCGTGGCTCCACAAATCCTGTCTATCTATCTTGCATTCTTGCAACGTTTTTTTTTTTATATGAAGAGTAATTGAACTGTACGCAGAGTAGTGTAAAATTGTTTAAAACTTATCTTAACTTTTCTGTTACCTACCCAGGAAAAAGATCTGATTGTTCAACTCCTTTTGGGTGTAATATGAATTATGATGTGGAAGCAATATCTTTTTAAGTGTAAATGATATTATATTTTAATATATAGCCATTTCGACCGACGTTATCCC